GACAGCAATGTATATACAAATCTCCGCTGTTGAAAACTAAATGTTAGCCTAAAAGAAATGTGAGATAATGTCTAGATGCTTTTTATAGTGGAGATAAATTGCTTGGCCGGGCTGATGAGACAGTGGATTGCGCAGTCAGATGGAACAGAGTAAATAGGCATTTTAATGTCAGATTTAGCCGGTGGTAATTTGTGGAATAGACACCGACTGTAACGCGGTTTTAACCAATTAGCATTCAGGATTAGACCCACCGTTGTATAAACATGTATAATCTATGAGCAGAATTACTGTTTTACCTCAATTAACCACAAAATCACTAGTTTGAAAGCTGTTTTCTGGAAGCTGTGCGGCGCCATTTTAAGTAGGTCCGTACTCTCCGGGATCCTTGGTATGTCCCTACCCCATTGAAGTAGAAATTTAACATGGTTAAGGTTAGGCTTACAGTGAGGGAAAAAAGTATTTGATCCCCTGCTGATTTTGTACGTTTGCCCACTGACAAAGAAATGATCAGTCTATAATTTTAATGGTAGGTTTATTTGAACAGTGAGAGACAGAATAACAACAACAAAATCCAGAAAAACCCATGTCAAAAATGTTATAAATTGATTTGCATTTTAATGAGGGAAATAAGTATTTGACCCCCTCTCAATCAGAAAGATTTCTGGCTCCCAGGTGTCTTTTATACAGGTAATGAGCTGAGATTAGTAGCACACTCTTAAAGGGAGTGCTCCTAATCTCAGCTTGTTACCTGTATAAAAGACACCTGTCCACAGAAGCAATCAATCAATCAGATTCCAAACTCTCCACCATGGCCAAGACCAAAGAGCTCTCCAAGGATGTCAGGGACAAGATTGTAGACCTACACAAGGCTAGAATGGGCTGCAAGACCATCGCCAAGCAGCTTGGTGAGAAGGTGACAACAGTTGGTGCGATTATTCGCAAATAGAAGAAACACAAAATAACTGTCAATCTCCCTCGGCCTGGGGCTCCATGCAAGATCTCACCTCGTGGAGTTGCAATGATCATGAGAACGGTGAGGAATCAGCCCAGAACAACACGGGAGGATCTTGTCAATGATCTCAAGGCAGCTGGGACCATAGTCACCAATAAAACAATTGGTAACACACTACGCCGTGAAGGACTGAAATCCTGCAGCGCCCGCAAGGTCCCCCTGCTCAAGAAAGCACATATACATGCCCGTCTGAAGTTTGCCAATGAACATCTGAATGATTCAGAGGAGAACTGGGTGAAAGTGTTGTGGTCAGATGAGACCAAAATCGAGCTCTTTGGCATCAACTCAACTTGCCGTGTTTGGAGGAGGAGGAATGCTGCCTATGACCCCAAGAACACCATCCCCACCGTCAAACATGGAGGTGGAAACATTATGCTTTGGGGGTGTTTTTCTGCTAAGGGGACAGGACAACTTCACCGCATCAAAGGGACGATGGACGGGGCCATGTACTGTCAAATCTTGGGTGAGAACCTCCTTCCCTCAGCCAGGGCATTGAAAATGGGTCGTGGATGGGTATTCCAGCATGACAATGACCCAAAACACACGGCCAAGGCAACAAAGGAGTGGCTCAAGAATAAGCACATGAAGGTCCTGGAGTAGCCTAGCCAGTCTCCAGACCTTAATCCCATAGAAAATCTGTGGAGGGAACTGAAGGTTCGAGTTGCCAAACGTCAGCCTCGAAACCTTAATGACTTGGAGAAGATCTGCAAAGAGGAGTGGGACAAAATCCCTCCTGAGATGTGTGCAAACCTGGTGGCCAACTACAAGAAACGTCAGACCTCTGTGATTGCCAACAAGGGTTTTGCCACCAAGTACTAAGTCATGTTTTGCATAGGGGTCAAATACTTATTTCCCTCATTAAAATGCAAATCAATTTATAAAATTTTTGACATGCGTTCTTCTGGATTTTGTTGTTGTTATTCTGTCTCTCACTGTTCAAATAAACCTACCATTAAAATAATAGACTGATCTTGTCTGTGTCAGTGGGCAAACATACAAAATCAGCAGGGGATCAAATACTTTTTTCCCTCACTGTATGTAAGGTTTATGGTTTAGGGTAGGGACTAGAGCCCTGCCTATATAGTTTTAGGGGTCCGATACCGATTCCAATTTTTTGGGGGGCAAAACGTACTGATACCGATATATCTTCAGATATACTGTTTCACAGCAGGGAAATAAAAAAAAGTGTCATTTTTCCACACTGAATTCTCATACATTGCCATCGAAAAGAGCAATAATCCAATAACTATTCTTCAAATGTTGATTTCATACATTGTGACAATAATGACACATGAAAATGGCCGCAAGTGTTCAGATATGCATGACATTCCCTTTTTTCATCCTATTTATTGAATATCAGTTATCGGTGGCGTTATCGTCCGATACCGATATAGCGTTAAAAGGCCAATATTGGCCGATAATATGGGTCGGGCTCTAGTAGGGATGTCCCAAGTATATGGTATAAATGCTGAAGTCTAGAACATGTTACACTCTACACTGACTCAATGTGTAAGTATTATACCAGACATGAATAATGTGTTTGGACATGAATTACAAACAGACATTGAAAAAAATCTATAAAATAGTTCTAAAGTGGCAGATAATTAGATGCAGATACAAACTGTTAATCTGCTACAAGCAACTCAGACAAAGTTGATTGACTGAAACGTTTGGAGACGAGGTAATTTCAGGGACAATAAACAATAAGGCTTGCATTTTGACAGGACAACATCTACTAAACCATGGGATGAGAGTTGGCATTTGATTTCCTGTGAATTGACCACAAATGATTATTTCTACAAGTAGATTTGAACATATGACTCAAAATTAAGAGCAAATGCCATAAAAAGCAAATGTGATTTTCTTTGGCCAATACAAAAGTTCACCCTCTATAATAAAACTGTTGTACATGAGCTAATCTTTTCTGACAAAATACTTGTCTTCTCTGTGCCTGTTCAGTGGGCAGCAGTCGCACCTTTAGGAGATATACTATATATACAAAAGTATGTGGATACCCCTTCAAATTAGTTGATTTGGCTATTTCAGCTACATCCGTTGCTGACAGGTGTATAAAATCAAGCACACAGCCATGCAATCTCCATAAACAAACAATGGCAGTAGAATGGCCTTACTGAAGAGCTCAGTGACTTTCAATTCGGCACCGTTTTTGGATGCCACCTTTCCAACAAGTCAGTTCGTCAAATTTCTGCCCTGCTAGAGCTGCCCCGGTCAACTGTAAGTGTTGTTATTGTGAAGTGGAAACGTCTGGGAGCAACAACGGCTCAGCTGCGATGTGGTAAGCCACAAAAGCTCACAGAACGGGACCGCCGAGTGCAACACTCACTACCGAGTTCCAAACTGCCTCTGAAAGCAACAGAACTGTTTGTCGGGCGCTTCATGAAATAAGGTTTCCATGGCCGAGCAGCCACACACAAACCTAAGATCACCATGCGGAATGCCAAGTGTCGGCTGGAGTGGTGTAAAGCTCGCCGCCATTGGACTCTGAAGCAGTGGAAACATGTTCTCTGGAGTGAAGACTCATGCTTCACTATCTGGCAGTCTGACAGATGATTCTGGGTTTAGCGGATGCCAGGAGAACGCTACCTGCCCCAATGCATAGTGCCAACTGTGAAGTTTGGTGGAGGAGGAATAATGGTCTGCGGCTGTTTTTCATGGTTCAGGCTAGGCCCCTTAGTTCCAGTGAAGGGAAATCTTAACGCTACAGCATACAATGACATTCTAGACGATTCTGTGCTTCCAACTTTGTGGGAACTGTTTGAAGAAGGCCCTTTCCTGTTTCAGCATGACAATGTCCCTGTGCAAAAAGTGAGGTCCATACAGAAATGGTTTGTCGAGCTCGGTGTGGAAGAACTTGACTGGCCTGCACAGAGCTCTGACCTCAACCCCATCAAACACCTTTGGGATGAATTGGGACGCTGACTGCGAGACAGGCCTAATCGCCCAACATCAGTGCCAGACCTCACTAATGCTCGTGGCTGAATGGAAGCAAGTCCCTGCAGAAATGTTCCAACATCTAGTAGAAAGCCTTCCCAGAAGAGTGGAGGCTGTTATAGCAGCAAAGGGGGGACCAACTCCATATTAATGCCCATGATTTTGGAATAAGATGTTCGACGAGCAGGTGTCCACATACTTTTGGTCATTTAGTGTATCATCGCGTGACTCCAAGTTTACTTCGATATGATGGTTATTATATCAATATTTAAGCATAAAGGCGTTGACGCTGCCATTTCTTCCATAATAAATTTTACAGACACCAAAAGATCCCACCATGTCGAACAAACACATTGTTTGTCGGCATTTATACAATTGTACCGGCATTTCATGTTTCCATCAGCCAGGTCAGTGACTTTTTTCATGCATCAGGTAATTCATCCGCATGAAATTTACATTTACATTTTAGTCATTTAGCAGACGCTCTTATCCAGAGTGACTTACAGGAGCAATTAGGGTTAAGTGCCTTGCTCAAGGGCACATTTACGTCATTTAGCAGACGCTCTTATCCAGAGCGACTCACAAATTGGTGCATTCACCCTATAGCCAGTGGGATAACCACTTTACAATTTTTTTTTTTGGGGGGGGGGGGGGGGGGGGGGGGGGGGGTAGAAGGATTACTTTATCCTATCCCAGGTATTCCTTAAAGAGGTGGGGTTTCAAATGTCTCCGGAAGGTGGTGAGTGACTCCGCTGTCCTGGCGTCGTGAGGGAGCTTGTTCCACCATTGGGGTGCCAGAGCAGCGAACAGTTTTGACTGGGCTGAGCGGGAACTATGCTTCCGCAGAGGAAGGGGAGCCAGCAGGCCAGAGGTGGATGAACGCAATGCCCTCATTTGGGTGTAGGGACTGAAATGGTTGGATGGAAACGTGGTTACAGTCATTCATTTTCGCAGCATGACACTAACAACATAATCAGTTGTTAATTTATTACACCAATGTATTTGTCATACATTTGAGGCACAGATATGACAGGTTATGTGTTTTATCTCCACAGAACTGTTGCTGTCTTTGGAGGAGCACCAGTATGCGCTAGAATTGATCATGGGTAGATACCACAAGGAAATGCTACAGCTTATGATGGAAAAGAAGGACCTGGACACACTGCCTGTTCTTAGCCTTCATGAGGACCATGCCGAGGTACACACCCTTTCTGCGTTCTCACGATAAATGTAATAATACAATGTATTAGCTATGTGTCATGTTTATTTGACTGAATTTATTTGATTGAATTTGGATTATTATGCAGGAAGTGCAAAGCCAACTGGAGCGGATATGTGAGATGGGTCAGGTGATGAGAAGAGCTGTTCAGGTGGACGACCAGCACTACTGCTCTGCGAGAGAAGCTGGCCCAGCTAGAGGTAAACAATAATATAGTTAATCAAGCAAATTACTATTTCACTATTAGGGCAAATAAATAAATAAAAATACAATTTATCAACCCAGCAGCATGACCAATATTCTCATCCATTTAGATTGAAAACAAGGAGCTGCGAAATCTACTGATCATTAGTAAGAGTTCTGTGAGGCCACAGGAAGACGACTCCAGCCAACCAGCGACAGAGGAAGAAGCCCAACCATAGAGCGGAATTTGGATTGTGCGTGAGGAATAACAGTGCCTCACATTTGACAAACTGACTTTTTGGAAAGGTGGCATCCTATGACGGTGCCACGTTGAAAGTCACTGAGCACTTCAGTAAGGCCATTCTACTGCCAATGTGTGTCTATGGAGATTGCATGGCTGTGTGCTCGATTTTATACACCTGTCAGCAACGGGTGTGGCTGAAATAGCAGAATCCACTAATTTGAAGGGGTGTCCACATACTTTTGTATATATATAGTGTATCTCGGAAAGGTGCGCCTGCTGCCCAATGAAGCACTGTACAGGCACAGAGAAGACAAATATTTTGTCAGGAAAGATTAGCTCCTGTACAACAGTTTTAATATAAAGGGTGAACTTTTGTATTGGCCAAAGAAAATCAAATACAGTGCATTCGGAAAGTATTCAGACCCCTTGACTTTTTCCACATTTTGTTATGTTACAGCCTTATTCTAAAATTGATGAAATAAACATTTTCCCTCATCAATCTACACACAATACCCCATAATGACAAAGCAAAAACAGGTTTTTCGAAATTTTTGCAAATTGATAAATAAAAAAAAGATACCTTATTTACATAAGTATTCAGACCCTTTACTATGAGACTCGAAATTGAGGTCAGGTGCATCCTGTTTCCATTGATCATCCTTGAGATGTTTCTACAACTTGATTGGAATCCACCTGTGGTAAATTCAATTGATTGGACATGATTTGGAAAGGCACACACACCTGTCTATATAACGCCCCACAGTTGATAGTGCATGTCAGAGCAAAAACCAAGCCATGAGGTCTAAGGAATTGTCCGTAGAGCTCCGAGACAGGATTGTGTCGAGGCACAGATCTGGGGACGGGTACCAAAAAATGTCTGCAGCATTGAAGGTCCCCAAGAACACAGTGGCCTCCATCATTCTTAAATGGAAGAAGTTTGGAACCACCAAAACTCTTCCTAGAGCTGGTCGCCCGGCCAAACTGAGCAATCGGGGGAGAAGGGCCTTGGTCAGGGAGGTGACCAAGAAACCAATGGTCACTCTGACAGAGCTTCAGAGTTCTTCTGTGGAGATGGGAGAACCTTCCAGAAGGACAACCATCTCTGCAGCACTCCACCAATCAGGCCTTTATGGTAGAGTTGCCAGACGGAAGCCACTCCTCAGTAAAAGGCACATAACAGCCCGCTTGTAGATTGCCAAAAGGCACCTAAAGGACTCTCAGACTATGAGAAACAAGATTCTCTGGTCGATTGATACCAAGATTGAACTCTTTGGCCTGAATGCCAAGCGTCACGTCCGGAGGAAACCTGGCACCATCCCTACGGTGAAGCATGGTGGTGGCAGCATCATGCTGTGGGGATGTTTTTCAGCGGCAGGGACTGGGAGACTAGTCAGGATCGAGGGAAAGATGAACGGAGCAAAGTACAAAGAGATCCTTAATGAAAACCTGCTCCAGAGCGCTCACAACCTCAGACTGGGGTGAAGGTTCACCTTCCAGCAGGACAACGACCCTAAGCACACAGCCAAATCAACGCAGGAGTGACTTCGGGACAAGTCTCTGAATGTCCTTGAGTGGCCCAACCACCCAACCGAACATCTCTGGAGAGACCTACAGCGACGCTCCCCATCCGGCCTGACAGAGCTTGAGAGGATCTGCAGAAAAGAATGGGAGAAACTCCCCAAATACAGGTGTGCAAAGCTTGAAGCATACCCAAGAAGACTCCAGGCTGTAATCGCTGCCAAAGGTGCTTCAACAAAGTACTGAGTAAGTGGTCTGAATACTTATATAAATGTGATATTTCAGTTTATTGCCCATAGCGGTGGTTGACATTGGTCAATGTGAGAGGGGGGGGGGGGGGGAAACAATTTTATAATAAGGCTGTAACGTAACAAAATGTGGAAAAAGTCGAGGGGTCTGAATATTTTCATAATGCACTGTATATCCGGACCACGGTCCGGATCCGGACCCAGAACAGGGTCAATACGGACCGTGGGTCCCGAATACCAAACAAATAAAATAATCTTGGTCGGGCTTGGACCCTTGGTCATATAAACACACATAAGACATGGAAAAAATGTGTAGAATTGCAGGATATTAGCTTTAAAAACGGCAAAAAAATATCTGCCTCATGCAAAATGAAAGATTTGCTTTAAAACTGCTAGATTTTCTCTCCGCCAACAAGAGGGTTGTGAACAGTTTGGGGTCGCATAGGTTGCGAGGTGGGGGTTTGTTAAATGCCGATAAATGACTATCCATCCGGACCTTTGCCACCTAGGAAATTTGTGTGACGGGACCTTTCCATATAGCACCCTGATATATACCATCAACTGATGTCACGCTCTAAGAAGAAACAGAGTCAATAAATTATTTTTTTCACAGAGATAATGCATGAATGTCAGAATCACAGGCTATTAAATTAAAAATTGTACAACAGATGTATAAAGCCCACACTGCCTCCTTGCTGTGACAGAATTTGCATCAACTAGCTGTGAATGTGCACCAGCATGTATTAGCAGTTCAATGCTCAGACACGCTCCTTCCCCGGGAGCGGAGCGCTCTGGCTGGGAGGCGAGCTGGAGTGGCAGGCACGGGGATTAGCAGGAGTGGGGAGCCAGAGGCAACATGACAAAAATATACCCGTAGAGCACTTGCGGCCAGAGCCTTGCTTACAAATGATACCCTCGCAGTGGAGTATGTTCTGTTCAACACAAAGACTTGATATTCACAATTCCACAAGGAGCAGCAAATAGATTTCACACAGCCCTCACACAGACAACCTTGTGTGTGTGTGTGTGTAGTAAAGAATAACTTGGAGAATTTGTTATTTTTCCCTCTTCTTGCTGTTCCACTCAAGCTGCCTTTGCTCTCACACGTTGTAGCCCACCTCTCAATTTGCCCTCCCCAGCGAGTGTCATCGTGACGCGCAGCTTTGAAACACACTGACAGCCACAGAACTGCTCACTCTGGCTCCAACGCTGATGAAAACAGGACTATTTGGCACAATGGAGAGATGGAAACAGTGCCGGCACTTCTGATCGCAGCTGCAACAGGAATCAATAGGTTTTCACACTTAGGAGAGAGAAATTACTGAGAAATAACCTTGGGAAGGATGTGGTGAATGGATTATCAAAACAGGACCTCATTGTCTTCTCTTTATTCTCCTCAAGTGTCAGGAAAGCTTTAGCAGCACCAGAAGTCACATCAATTTTGTGCTTCACAGCAACTGTTCACATTCACAGACTGGGAGAGCAACAGGGAAGCTCTCACATTGACCAATGTCAACCACCGCTATGGGCAACTCCACCTTATCTGGCTTAGAGGCAGCAGCTGCAGGTGTGGATGCAGTTAACCCTTTAGGGAGCTCCAATGGCAGCTTGTCCGCGAACAGTGCCTGGGGCATCAGTGGCAGCGGTCCGTGGCTGTTGGCGTGCATGTTAACCCTCATCATCCTGATGACGGCTTGTGGCAACACTCTGCTGATAGCTCTGGTGTTTGCCCAGCGCTCCTTACGCAACACCTCCAACTGTTTCCTGGTGTCTCTCTTCCTGTCGGACCTGATGGTGGCTCTGGTTGTGATGCCACCGGCAATGCTCAATGTGCTGTATGGGGCCTGGGTGTTGTGGCCGGGCTTCTGCCCCGTGTGGCTCTGCTTCGACGTCATGTGCTGCAGTGCCTCCATTCTCAACCTATGTGTGATCAGCCTGGACCGCTACCTCCTCATCATCTCGCCACTGCGCTACAAGCAGAGGATGACCCCTCCCCGGGCCCTGCTTCTGGTGGGAGGGGCCTGGGGTCTGGCCGCCCTCACCTCCTTCTTGCCCATCAAGATGAACTGGCACAGCTTGGGTCATGGGAGTGGCCATTCCCCAATGCATGGGGCTGGCAGTGCCAATGTCAGCACATACCCAGAGCTGAGCTTGTGGTACCCCGCCTCCTACTTCCAGCTGTCGCCCTTCGGTGGTCTGTCCTTCCAGTGTTGTCTGCAGGTTACCCTGCCTTTTGCCCTGGTGGCGTCCGTCCTCACCTTCTTCCTGCCATCCAGTGCCATCTGCTTCACCTACTGTCAGATTCTCCTGGCGGCGCGAAGACAGGCGAGGCGGGTGGCGGCGCTAAGTCACCCTCCGTACCCGCACCGTTCGCCTGGGGAGCCTTCTCACCCTCCGTCACCAGGTGGGGGCGCCGCCAGACATGTTCACCTCGAAGGAGATGACTACAGTCATCAGGAGCGCCATGTGTCACGCCACGTGCCGGTGAGAGCGAGGGGTGGTAGAGGAGATTAAGGGGGATACAATGAGGCTACATCCCAAAGCTGTATAATCCGTCCCTGCATGATCACTGTGTGCCTGGATAGGTTTCCACCATGGTGCCTTCACTGCCTCTCAGATTAGTTGTCATGAAGGAAAACAAATGTGGGGATCTAGCTAAGATAATTAGGACACGGCCATTGACTTGGGAGATGGATTCAAGAAGGTGAGATTACAAAGGTGGAGTGGGTAGATTAGGTAGATTACACAGCATTTTGGATTTGAGATCAAATGTTTTTATATGAGGCGACAGTACAGAATGTCACCTTTTATTTGAGGGTGTTTTTCGTACATATCTGTTTTACTGTTTAGAAATGAATGCACTTTATGTATGTAGTTCCCCCATTTGAAGGTGTCAAGTATTTGGACAAATTCACAGTGTATTCAATTTAGTCCAAAGTTTAGTGTTTGGTCCCATATTACTAGCACGCAATGACTACATCAAGCTTGTGACTTTACAAACTTGTTGAATGCATTTGCAGTTTGTTTTGGTTGTGTTTCAGATTATGTTGAGCCCAATACAAATTCATGGTTAATAAAAAATCCTGTGAAAGACGCAAAGAGGGAGGAGGGGCAATGGCGCCTGTTGAAGTTGAAGTGGTTGCTAGTTGGAATAAATGGCACAGACATTGCATGGTATTTATGTAGTCAAGGGCCTGTGCCTACACTCCTGAGATTGGGGCCTAGGACAGTAATTCATAACAATGTTGTTCCACGCAGGGACTTTTCGATGTATTCAACAACACGTCTCTTTCAATGTGAGCATTACATCTTGTTAAATGCAAGAGTTAGGCCTACATACATTACCTTTTTTCCTGAGACTCTTCTCCTGAAAGCAATGTGGTGGAAGCTATAGTTTATTTTATTTTGCTACTCCAGCTATGAAACCTAAATATTTACATGGTAGCTTTTGTGTAAGTGCACATTGTTGCATACGTACTTAAAGCTATTTATACCTGTTTGCTGTTTGTACACAATGAACTTTCAATGCATTAGATTTGTACTCACCCTAGAATTATTGTTTTAATTTCACTGAGTTAATTTGCAAATCCTTTAAATTGTGCATGCCGCAAACAGGTAAAACAGTTTTTGGGCGGCAGGTAGCCTAGCGGTTAAGAGCGCTTGTCCAGTAACCATTCGAATCCCCGAGCCAACTAGGTGAAAAATCTGTCAATGTGCCCTTGAGCAAGGCGCTTAACCCTAATTGCTCCTGTAACTCACTCTGGATAAGAGTGTCTGTAAAATGTTTTAAGAATCATGTAACAATGTGGACCTGTAGCTAACTTGTAAAATTCAATAAATACCTAGGTTCTTTGATAAATTCAGATGCAGTCCTTGGCCGTGTCCGAATACCCACACTAGCATACTACATACTTAAACTGCATACTATGTACTCATTGTCGCATAGCCTACTATTTAGCACGTACCGTTTAGTAAAAGGTAGGCTATGCAGTATACCACAGCCGCAACGCAGTAGCGGCTCCTGACTGGATGGGTAACCTGGGCGGGGCCTAGTGCGGTTGGAATTTTCGAAAATTCAGACATGCATCACATTAACCAGCCTGATAATATCTCATTTCCAATTCGATTAATCTATCTAAACTCTGAATAGAATAGTAATGAAGTCATAGGCCTACTCAGGCTGGTTATATGCAGACTTTCACATTTGACCTACACTGTAGCCCATATAACCCATCTATCCTATTTTAAAAAGACTGAAGACAGAAACAGATAATTTGGTTCCATTTCAACAAATGTATTAGTGAAACCAAAGTGCTGTAACATATATAAATATTAAATCAAATAGCCTAGTAGACACACCAATACTTTTCAAATGTTCAAATCAAAAGGCTATTGCACAGAAAAACCTGGACAGTCGGGTGCATCGCAAATTCAGAACCGCTGGACAGCAACATAAACTAAAGCACTGATCAGTGGGACCGAGATCAGAATGACCGCTATGGCTTGATCCATAAATTAAATAGGTAGCTTAGCCTAAAAAACTAAAACTAAATCCATATGTTGAAATCAAAAAGCTTGATTGATGTGAATTCAATAACGGAGCCACACCCCAAGATCCACGGTGTCGACACATTCAGAAATCAAAAGATGGTTTAGTATTTACACTGAACAAAAATATCAACGCAACATGCAACAACTTGAGTTACAGTTCGTATAAGGAAATCAGTCAATTGAAATAAATTCATTAGTCCCTAATCTATGGATTTCACATGACTGAGCATAAAGATATGCATCAGTTGGTCACAGATACCTTTAAAAAAAGGTAGGGGTGTGGATCAGAAAACCAGTCAGTATCTGGTGTGACCACCATTTGCCTCATGCAGCGTGACACATCTCCTTTAGCTCAGGCTGTTGATTGTGGCCTGTGGAATGTTGTCCCACGCCTCTTCAATGGCTGTGCGAAGTTACCGGATATTGGCAGGAACTGAAACACGCTGTCGTACATGTCGATCCAGAGCATCCCTAACATGCTCAGTGGGTGACATTGTCTGGTGAGTATGCAGGCCATGGAAGAACTGGGACATTTTCAGCTTCCAGGAATTGTGTACAGATCCTCGCGACACGAGGCCGTGCATTATCATGCTGAAACATGAGGTGATGGCAGCGGATGAACGGCACGACAATGGGCCTCAGGATCTCGTCACAGTATCTCTGTGCATTCAAATTGCCATCGATAAAATGCAATGGTGTTCATTGTTCGTAGCTTATGCCTGCCCATACCATAACCGCACCTCCACCATGGGGCACTCTGTTCACACGTTGACATCAGCAAACTGCTCGCCCACATGATGCCAGACACGCTGTCTGCCATCTGCCCGGTACAGTTGAAACCGGGATTCATTCGTGTAGAGCACACTTCTCCAGCATGCCAGTGGCCATCGAAGGTGAGCATTTGCCCACTGAAGTCAGTTACGACGTCAAACTGCAGTCACGTCAAGACCCTGGTGAGAACGACGAGCACACAGATGAGCGTCTCTGAAACGGTTTCTGACAGTTTGTGCAGAAATTCTTCGGTTGTGCAAACCCACAGTTCTCAGATGATCCCACAGGTGAAGAAGCCGGATGTGGAGGTCCTGGGCTGGCGTGGTTACACGTGGTCTGCGGTTGTGAGGCCGGTTGGACGTACTGCCAAATTCTCTATAATGATGTTGGAGGAGGCTTATGGTAGAGAAATTAATATTAAATTATCTGGCAACAGCTCTGGTGGACATTCCTGCAGTCAGCATGCCAATTGCACGCTCCCTCAAAACTTGAGACATCTGTGGCATTGTGTTGTGTGACAAAACTGCACATTTTATAGTGGCTTTTTATTGTTCCCAGCACAAGGTGCACCTGTGTAATGATCATGCTCTTTAATCAGCTTCTTGATATGCCACACATGTCAGGTGGATGGATTATATTGGCAAATGAGAAATACTCACTAACAGGGATGTAAACAAATTTGTGCAAACTTTTTAGAGAAATAAGCTTTTTGTGTGTTTCTGGGATAAGTTATTTCAGCTCCTGAAACATGGGACCAACACTTTACATGTTGTCACAGCTGCCTCCCCTCCTTGTTCGGGCAGGCTTCGGCGTTCGTCGTCACCGGCCTTCTAGCCACTGCCGCTCCATATCTCATCATTCCATTTGTCTTGTCTTGTCTTGTCAATTGTCTTGTCGATTGTCTTGTCAAATGGCCTCCTGTAGCTCAGTTGGTAGAGCATGGCGCTTGCAACGCCAGGGTTGTGGGTTCGATTCCCATGGGGGGCCAGTATGAAAAATGTATGCACTCACTAACTGTAAGTCGCTCTGGATAAGAGCGTCTGCTAAATGACTAAAATGTAATTACACACACACCTGGTTCATATTCTCCTCATTAGTATGTGTTTAAGTGTTCCCTCTGCCCCCCTTGTCCTTATGGGTGATTGTTCATTGTGAGGATTAGTAGCTCGGTTAAGCTCAGTATTTTGTATTGCCGGGGTATTTTCCCCGTGTGCATGTTTGTTCCAGTGCGCCTGTTTTGCGCACTGGACTGGTTATGCTGGATTACGGAATAAACTCTGTATACTGTGATTTACCCTCCTGCGCCTGACTCCTTCAAATCACGCATCACAGAATCACCCACCTGAAATGGAGTCAGCAGGAGAGGAGCGTATGCCTGGAGTCGTGGCACGGGTCCAGGAGCATTCAACAATGCTAGCCAGCTTGGGAGAAGCAATGTATCGGGTTCTCCAGGTCGTCCAACGCCTGGAGAGGAGAACACCCGATCTGTCGAGACCAGCTGGGCAACCGGATCCAGCCACCCACACCCCAGCACCCAGAGGGATCCATATATCCCGACCACAGGAGTTCGACGGGACAGCTGCTCTCTGCCAGGGATTCCTCCTCCAACTGGAGCTCTACTTCTCCAGCATCAGGCCAGCCCCATCGGAGCGGAAGAAGGTGTCCACCCTCGTCTCCTGCCTCTCGGGGAAAGCCCTGGAGTGGGCCAACGTGGTCTGGAACGAAGGAGGAGCCACGTTGGACAACTACGGGGAGTTCACTCAACTCTTTCGGTCTGTCTTTGATCACCCGCCCGAAGGTCGAGGCGGGCAAGCAGCTGGTCCACCTGAGGCAGGGGACGAGGACTGCGCAGGACTTCGCCTTGGAGTTTCGGACTCTAGCAGCTGGGTTCGGGTAGAACAAGCGGGCCCTTATCGACCACTTCCGGTGCCATCTGCGGAAGGACGTCCGAAGGGAGCTAGCCTGCCGCGACACCATGTTGTCCTTCACGCAACTGGTGGACATGGCCATCCGTTTGGACAACCTGCTGGTGGCCAGAGGACGTCCTGGAGGGGGTCTGCCCGTTCCAACCCCGGCCGACTCGGATCATGAGCTGATGGAGCTGGGTGGAGCCGCGATCCGAGAGAGCGGAGGACGACAGCGCCAGTGTCACTCTGATGGCACGAAGGGACATTACACTGCACGATGTCGTCAGTGTTCTTTTGGGCCTGGAGGCGGCAGGCAGGGCACTCTCGCATCACCCCAGGTATTGAACACCCATACTTGTTCAGAGTCCTCTGCTGCGCACTGTATCCTACCCATCCACTTTTCTGATCACATTGTAGTTCCCCAGTGTAAGGCGCTAGTCGATTCAGGCACAGCTGGGAACTTTATGGACAGGGCATTTTCACACAGTCTAGACATTTCATTCATTCCCCTATCCATTCCACTCACCATCAGAGCACTTGACAGTCGACCATTAGGGTCCGGGTTTGTTAGGGAAGTTACCGCACCAATCACCATGGTTACCCACGAGACTCATTGCGACCTAGTCATGTTTTTTATCATTGAGTCTCCTGCTTTCCCTGTGGTACTAGGCATCCCTTGGTTAGCACCCCACAACCCCACATTCTCATGGCCGCAGAGGGTTCTCACGGGGTGGTCGCGAGAGTGTCAGGGTAGGTGTCTCGGTGTTTCCGTTGGTGCAATCACGGTGGAAAGTCCAGACAGTACCTCCACAGTGCGCATCCCCCCCCCCCCCCGACTACCTCGATTTGGCGCACGCGTTTTCCAAAACGCAGGCGACCAAGTTACCCCCTCATCGGGCGGGGGACTGCACGATAAACCTCCGGGTAGACGCTGTGCCTCCCAGGAGTCATGTGTATCCCCTGTCACAGGCTGAAACAGAAGCTATGGAAACATACGTCACCGAGTCCCTGTGCCAGGGGTTTATAAGTCCCTCCACTTCACCCGCCTCCGAGTTTCTTTTTTGTGAAGAAGAAAGACGGCGGTCTGCGCCCTTGCATTGATTATCGATCACTGAACAAGGAGACGATACGATTTAGTTATGCTCTCCCCCTCATTCCTTCAGTGATCGAGTCAATGCATGGGGCGCGCTTCTTCACCAAATTAGATCTCCGGAGTGCGTACAACCTGGTGCGTGTCCGAGAGGGGGATGAGTGGAAGACAGCATTCAGCACAACCACGGGGCATTATGAATACCTGGTGATGCCCTACGGTTTGATGAATGCTCCATCCGTCTTCCAGTCCTTTGTGAACGAGGTGTTATCGGGACATGCTTGGTCGCGGTGTAGTGGTCTACATCGGTGACATTCTGGTGTATTCCACTACGCGCGCCGAGCATGTGTCCCTGGTTTGCTGGCCCGACTGTTGGAAAATGACCTTTATGCCAAGGCAGAAAAGTGTCTGTTTTTCCAGCAGTCCGTCTCCTTCCTCGGATACCGCATTACCATCTCAGGTGAGGAGATGGAGGGAGATCGCATTTCAGCCGTGCGTAATTGGCTGACTCCAACCACGGTTAAGGAGGCCGGGGTCGGCGCGCTGCTGGAGCTCGCAGCCAACCTCTTCCTATGCATTGTGGAAAACTGTGCATCGAATTATACTAGATGAAGAACTGAAATGAGTAGGCTATCACATCCTGGCATTTAAAACATACTAGATTTTCGAAAGTTCACATACTATAAAACCTATTTTCACATACTGAGAATACGTCATGCGCGATTGCGTTGTTTCTTGCTATTAGTTAATTTCGCTAGTGCATCCCCATATCTAGTTGACCAGCTGTTGTCAAAACCGAAGTGAGTATAACATCCGGGCATTTAAAGTATACTCGATTTATTTTTATTTTTTGCATACTCAAACTGCTTATTTAGGACGCAACTATGGGTATTCGGACACGGCCCTTGTCTCTGACAGCCCTGTCTTTCCCTCTGTCCTCAGTTGTCGGTGAACAGGGAGCGGCGGCTGGCCCACCGGCAGGGACGGAGGGCAGTGAAGGCCAGTCTGACCCTGGGAGTCCTGCTAGGCCTCTTCTTCAGCGCCTGGCTGCCCTTCTTCATCACCAACATGGCCCAGGTCAGTGGCTCAGACTGCGTCGGCCTCTGTATTAAAGAGAGAATTCAGTGATTTAAACGAACTATTCCGTTAATATCAAGCATAGAAGAGTATACATGTTCTCCTGAAATCCTAGTGAAATCTCAATTTCCAAACTTTCACTTTACCTACACATTATTAAAGAAATTGGCCTATAAAATACACAATCGAATCTGGTGCCTTGTTGTAGTGCCTACAGTAAACATTGGGATTCAAAGGACATTTCAATAGAGGGATTTAAAAACAATTATGAGCCAAACACTAGGGGATCAGCTAGGTGCTCTGAGCGGAGATGAATATAAATCTTTCAATTGGTTGCTACTCATCTTCTCAGGGTCGAAACTTGCAAACCACATGCACACAGTATATTGTATAGCACATCTGTTCTCATTATGTTTGTGTACACCCTCCCTATTCATTACCAATTATTCCCTGTATTACAGAACCTGGACCACATGCATTCCATGTGTGATGCTCCATCTTATGGCAATTAAGTTCCTTTTGTGTGTGCTCTGAGGTTGCCTTATTCCTCTGTCTGGGAAAGATGTCAGCTAGAGCAGGGTTTCCCAAACTCGGTCCTGCACGTTATTTGAATTACCTGGGGGAGGGGGGGGGGGGGGGGGTCAAGTGGATACTAAATAGGTTGGCTGTATGAATAGAGAGGGATGCTGGTCAAGTGGAATAATAAGCAGTAGAAAATACTAACTCTAAGTCGCTCTGGATAAGAGCGTCTGCTAAATGACTAAAATGTAAATGTAAAATTTAAGACAGGAATTTTGCTTGCAAATGCTCCCTTATCTACCGGAACATACTATACAGGAACATACTGTATATTTGATGTCCACTCATCCTTTTTTAATTTAATGCCAAATTCTAGAGACAGACAATTTGGACTTTTGCTAAAACATCGTTTTTATATTATATTATTGTGGGACGTCTCACATGTAGAGTATATCTTCATTCACAGTTAAAAACGAAGGTTTTGTAATCCTATTTCTTTAGATTCAGGGCTGTGGTCTTCATCTGAGCTCCATATTTCATTCACCTCAGTGACTCGAATGGGTGTTTTTACTGTTCCATCACCCAGGATTATCATCGCTGGAGTGTTGCCATGTGGTTCAGCACAAAAGCAATGTGTGAAATACAATGGGGGGAGGTCATCCTAAGAATGTGTAAATGCCATGGTCTTTTTGGGTTGTAGAATTTTAGGGAGAAAAATTATAAGATGCTTGATTAGATTAAAGAAGCCAAACATAAAACGTACCACCCTTCACCATTTGTTCATTAGCTAAACTCAAGGGGAGCATGTTAATCTTCAGGATAAAGTGTGACATAAAATAATTTAATCTAAATTGGTAATTATCGTTGTCCTGCTTTCAGGCCTTCAATGATCCAGTCATTTCATTTCCCATCTGTGTCCCTCACTTCACTCCTCCAGAATATAGCACAGAGGGCTCATGTGTGTCTGCCTTCCTCCCCCTTCCTTTCACATGCAATGTGGTATGTGAACACCCCCCTCCCTTTTTTCACCTTCTCACTCACTGCCTCCCTCATTCATCTTCATAATATAGGACAGTCCTCCAACAGCAGTCTTCTCGCGTTCTCTCTGATATGCCATAGTGAGCCAGTCTTTCACCCTTCTATGGGTTGTCCCTAGTTTACATACACTACCAGTCAAAAGTTTGGACACACCTACTCATTCAAAAGGTTTTTCTTTTTTACATTGTAGAATAATAGTGAAGACATCAAAACCATGAAATAACACGTATGGAATCATGTAGTAACCAAAAAAGTGTTAAACAAATCAAAATATATTTTAGAATTGAGATTCTTCAAATAGCCACCCTTTGCCTTGATGACAGCTTTGCACACTCTTGGCATTCTCTCAACCAGCTTCATGAGTAGTAGTCACCTGGAATGCATTTCAATTAACAGGTGTGCCTTCTTAAAAGTTAATTTGTGGAATTTCTTTCCTTCTTAATGTGTTTGAGCCAATCAGTTGTGTTGTGACAAGGTATACAGAAGATAGCCCTATTTGGTAAAAGACCAAGTCCATATTATGGCAAGAACAGCTCAAATAAGCAAAGAGAAACAACAGTCCATCATTACTTTCAGACATGAAAGTCAGGCAATACGGAACATTTCAAGAACTTTGAAAGTTTCTTCAAGTGCAGTCGCAAAAACCATCAAGCACTATGATGAAACTGGCTCTCATGAGGACCGCCACAGGTATGGAAGACCCAGATTTACCTCTGCTGCAGAAGATAAGTTCATTAGAGTTACCAGTCTCAGAAATTGCAGCCCAAATAAATGCTTCAGAGTTCAAGTCACAGACACATCTCAACATTAACTGTTCAGAGGGGACTGTGTGAATCCGGCCTTCATGGTCAAATTGCTTCAAAGAAACCACTACTAAAAGGATACCAATAAGAACAAGAGACCTGCTTGGGCCAAGAAACACGAGCAATGGACATTAGACCGGTGGAAATGTGTCCTTTGGTCTGTAGTCCAAATTTGGCAGAGTGAAGGAAAAGCAGCCAACAAGTGGTCAGCATATGTGGGAACTCCTTCAAGACTGTTGGAAAAGCAGTCCAGGTGAAGCTGGTTGAGAGAATGCCAAGCGTGTGCAAAGCTGTCATTAAGGCAAAGGGTGGCTATTTGAAGAATCTCAAATATAGTTTCTTTTGTTTAACACTTTTTTGGTTACTACATGATTCCATATGTGTTATTTCATCATTTTGATGTCTTCACTATTATTCTACAATGTAGAAAATAGTAAAAATAAAGAAAAACCCTTGAATGAGTAGGTGAGTCCAAACTTTTGACTGGTAGTTTATATATATATATATATTCTACTTAGGCCCAATTACAGTGAGTTCTGTACACTAATGAAAAGAGCCTTTACAATATTATTTTCTTTTTTACCTCTTACTGGCTACATATTTCCTATAAGAATACTTTTTATTAAATTATTTGTTTCACAACATATTGTTACGTACAGTGGGGAAAAAAAGTATTTAGTCAGCCACCAATTGTGCAAGTTCTCCCACTTAAAAAGATGAGAGAGGCCTGTAATTTTCATCATAGGTACATGTCAACTATGACAGACAAAATGAGAAAAAAAATTGCAGAAAATCACATTGTAGGATTTTTAATGAATTTATTTGCAAATTATGGTGGAAAATAAGTATTTGGTCAATAACAAAAGTTTCTCAATACTTTGTTATTTACCCTTTGTTGGCAATGACACAGGTCAAACATTTTCTGTAAGTCTTCACAAGGTTTTCACACACTGTTGCTGGTATTTTGGCCCATTCCTCCATGCAGATCTCCTCTAGAGCAGTGATGTTTTGGGGCTGTCGCTGGGCAACACGGACTTTCAACTCCCTCCAAAGATTTTCTATGGGGTTGAGATCTGGAGACTGGCTAGGCCACTCCAGGACCTTGAAATGCTTCTTACGAAGCCACTCCTTCGTTGCCCGGGCGGTGTGTTTGGGATCATTGTCATGCTGAAAGACCCAGCCATGTTTCATCTTCAATGCCCTTGCTGATGGAAGGAGGTTTTCACTCAAAATCTCATGATACATGGCCCCATTCATTCTTTCCTTTACACGGATCAGTCGTCCTGGTCCCTTTGCAGAAAAACAGCCCCAAAGCATGATGTTTCCACCCCCATGCTTCACAGTAGGTATGGTGTTCTTTGGATGCAACTCAGCATTCTTTGTCCTCCAAACACGACGAGTTGAGTTTTTACCAAGAAGTTCTATTTTGGTTTCATCTGACCATATGACATTCTCCCAATCCTCTTCTGGATCATCCAAATGCACTCTAGCAAACTTCAGACGGGCCTGGACATGTACTGGCTTAAGCAGGGGGACACGTCTGGCACTGCAGGATTTGAGTCCCTGGCGGCGTAGTGTGTTACTGATGGTAGGCTTTGTTACTTTGGTCCCAGCTCTCTGCAGGTCATTCACTAGGTCCCCCCGTGTGGTTCTGGGATTTTTGCTCACCGTTCTTGTGATCATTTTGACCCCACGGGGTGAGATCTTGCGTGAAGCCCCAGATCGAGGGAGATTATCAGTGGTCTTGTATGTCTTCCATTTCCTAATAATTGCTCCCACAGTTGATTTCTTCAAACCAAGCTGCTTACCTATTGCAGATTCAGTCTTCCCAGCCTGGTGCAGGTCTACAATTTTGTTTCTGGTGTCCTTTGAGAGCTCTTTGGTCTTGGCCATAGTGGAGTTTGGAGTGTGACTGTTTGAGGTTGTGGACAGGTGTCTTTTATACTGATAACAAGTTCAAACAGGTGCCATTAATACAGGTAACGAGTGGAGGACAGAGGAGCCTCTTAAAGAAGAAGTTACAGGTCTGTGAGAGCCAGAAATCTTGCTTGTTTGTAGGTGACCAAATACTTATTTTCCACCATAATTTGCAAATAAATTCATTAAAAATCCTACAATGTGATTTTCTGCAATTTTTTTTCTCATTTTGTCTGTCATAGTTGACATGTACCTATGATGAAAATTACAGGCCTCTCTCATCTTTTTAAGTGGGAGAACTTGCACAATTGGTGGCTGACTAAATACTTTTTTCCCCCACTGTACATACTGAACACAACCCCAGTGCCTGCCTTCTGCTCTCTCTCTCTCGTCAGGCGGTATGCGAGTGTGTTCCCCCGGCACTCTTTGACGCCATCACCTGGCTGGGCTACTGTAACAGCACCATGAACCCCATCATCTACCCGCTGTTTATGCGCGACTTCAAACGGGCCTTGGGGCGGCTGCTGCCGTGCTGCTCCACCCGCTCACCCTGCAGACCCTCACCGGTGCTCTCCCTCTCCCTCCGCAACTCTGGCGAGCCCAACATGCCCACGGAGCACCCATCCCTGGCCTCCGATCCCCCACAGCCCCCCGCCACCGCCACAGACGCCGTCAACCTGTTTGACGCCGACCACGCTGGGATTGAGCTGCCCTTGCTGTTGCCCAATCAGGTGGCCACGCTGGACTGAAGGGGAGGATGGAGAGTAGAGCGTGAAGAGATGTTACATACTGTAACTTATTACCACCAAGGGTAGATGATGGGAAACTTCGCTGAGGGGAAAGGTTGGAGGAAGGTGTAATGTTGAACTCATCAAAGCGGCACTGTTGGTGGTAGCAAGAATGGATAATAATCTAGACGGTGTAATTTAGTGAGCATACAGGGCAGGAATGGATGAGAGAGAGCTAGGTGCTGAGAGTCATTGGGTGACTGCATTAGATGACATCACTGTGATAACCATGATCCCAACAGATTTTAAAAAATGCCCGGTACTCATTCATGCTGCATTGTCTTTGTATCCACAAAAGTGGGGGGATGTCTATAAATAGTCTTGTAATTAAATGTTTTTAATTGACATCCTGCCTACATTAAAATTACAGTACTTTAAACACACTATACAGTGCATACATTATTCATCACTTATTAGGCTGCCATAGTTAAATAAATCTAAAAAGCCCTTAAGGGGTTCACATGTTCATGATTAGTTCAATTACGATGTTTTCATTGGAAGTTGCCATTTGTGTCCACTGATGCCTTCAATGAGTGTTCTGGCACCTGAGTGTGCTGAAAATCTAAAGGAGGTCTTTCCACACACAACTGGGATGTCGTTGGTAATTCAAGTTGAGAAGAGGCAGAAGAACTGCAGTTGGTCCTATAACCTCCTATGTCCGCCTGTTTGGTCCCGTGTGTTGATGTGTTCCCTCAAACTCAAGATGGAAAGCTGCACCTAACACGACTCAGGATATGACCCTGATGCAGACACAGGAGACGGAAGGTTCAATACACAGAGTAGTTTATTCAACCACAGGAGGCAGGCAAAAGGGCAGGTTGAGGACAGGCAGAGGTTCGTGACCAGGTCCGAGTCCGACAGGTACAGGGCGGCAAGCAGGCTCAGGGTCAGGGCAGGCAGAAGTTCGTAAACCAGGTCATAGTCAGATAGGTACAGGACGCTGGGCAGGCTCGGGGTCAGGGCAGGCAGAATTGGTCGGAACCAGGAGGACTAGAAAACAGGGACTAGAGAAAACAGGAGTACGGAAAAACACGCTGGTAGGCTTGACGAGACAAGACGAACTGGCAACAGACAAACAGAAAATGCAGGTATAAATGCACAGGGGATAATGGGGAAAATGGGAGACACCTGGAGGGGGGTGGAGACAAGCCCAAGACAGGTGAAACAGATCAGGGTGTGACAGCACCGTTGTCCTTATGGGCGGCATTCCCCTCAGAACTCTGTTGCAGGTTGGAACAAAATCGTTCTCATTTAGCTAGTCCAACAGATCTGATATGTCAGAGATCTCCCAACCTTGTCATATCCTCTTTTTCCTCCATCTGCACTCCCTTTTTCCCTCCCTCACCCTCTCCGGTGAAAGTCTCTTCTGCTCCAGCCCGAAGAACCAACCAGTTTTTGCTCTTTGGCCACTTTCCCTTGTGCTAATTGGACCATAGCTATGTCCAGTTTTCTCTCGGTCATAGTGAGTGGTTGAAGAGGTCTGCCCCCAGCCCCTGGAACCTCTCTGGTGGGCACGCCCACAGCTACAAGGATGGTGTCCATCTGACGCATGTAGTCCAAGTGACCTTTAACCTAGGATGCGGGGAAAATCTTTGGAATATTTTCGGAGAAAGAAAAGTGGGCTTTCTGGACATATTTTCACCCCTTTATAGATGGAAATTAAAAACATATACCGTGGACTTGTTGTAATAACTGGACATTATTTTACACTTAATAGATTTCACGTTGTGTAACTGAAGTTTTGTCGTGAATAAAAACACTATGTTGCTAAATGATGCTTTATATACTGCAGACATTATGCAAATCATAATGCTGTAGAGTTCCATAACTTACATTCAACAGAATAGCAAGGTTGTAATGCTCTCAAAGTTGCACAGTCCACTACGTCATTTGTGTGTCTACCATGATGATTCTGTCTTATGGTGTGTTTTTATATGACATAAGTCTATGGGGGTGGTGGCTGAATAGCTTAGCCTGGCTGTAGGGTTGGGTGATATTACCATAGTATCGTCTATCGATGATGATTGACAGCCATCGTCGATGGTGACGACATCGTGATGTGGACGACATCTTTTGATGTGACAGACGATGGTTTAGCTTATTTGAACTTGACTGGTGCCGTGCACGAGAGTCGGGCAGCACACGAGTGACATTCCAAGTAATATGCCTATTCCTATTTGCTATAGCCTATTTCAATAAATATGTTATATACAGAACGCAAGAGAGGAATGTAGGCTAGACAGAGCGAAGAACTCCACCAAAGCAGTGCAAAATGTCCAGTCAGAAAATATTGTTTCTTTCTCTGTCGGATGCATGGGCCTTATAGCCTAAACCTCTAAAAAATATATATATATATATATATATAAACTACCAGTCAAAAGTTTGGACACACCTACTCATTCAAGGGTTCTTCTTTACTTTTAAAATGTTTCACATTGTAGAATAATAGTGAAGACATCAAAACTATGAAATAACACATATGGAATCATGTAGTAACCAAAAAAGTGTTAAACAAAAGAACCTTTCAAAGTTCTTGAAATTTTCTGTATTGACTGACCTTCATGTCTTAAAGTAATGATGGACTGTCGTTTCTCTTTGCTTATTTGAACTGTTCTTGCCATAATATGGACTTGGTCTTTTACCAAATAGGGCTATCTTCTGTATACCCTCCCTATCTTGTCACAACACAACTGATTGGCTCAAACGCATTAAGAAGGAAAGAAATTCCACAAATGAACTTTTAAGAAGGCACACCTGTTAATTGAAATGCATTCCAGGTGACTACCTCATGAAGCTGGTTGAGAGAATGCCAAGAGTGTGCAAAGCTGTCATCAAGGCAAAGGGTGGCTATTTGAAGAATCTCAAATATATAAAATATATTTTGATTTGTTTAACACTTCTTTGGTTACTCCATATGTGTTATTTCATAGTTTTGACGTCTTCACTATTATTCTACAATGTAGAAAATAGTAAAAATAAAGAAAAACCCTGGAATGAGTAGGTGTGTCCAAACTTGACTGGTACTATATACAGTGGGGAGAACAAGTATTTGATACACTGCCGATTTTGCAGGTTTTCCTACTTACAAAGCATGTAGAGGTCTGTAATTTTTATCATAGGTACACTTCAACTGTGAGAGACGGAATGTAAAACAAAAATCCAGAAAATCAAATTGTATGATTTTTAAGTAATTAATTTGCATTTTATTGCATGACATAAGTATTTGATACATCAGAAAAGCATAACTTAATATTTTTTGTACAGAAACCTTTGTTTGCAATTACAGAGATCATACGTTTCCTGTAGGTCTTGACCAGGTTTGCACACACTGCAGCAGGGATTTTGGCCCACTCCTCCATACAGACCTTCTCCAGATCCTTCAGGTTTCGGGGCTGTCGCTGGGCAATACGGACTTTCAGCTCCCTCCAAAGATGTTTCTATTGTGTTCAGGTCTGGAGACTGGCTAGGCCACTCCAGGACCTTGAGATGCTTCTTACGGAGCCACTCCTTAGTTGCCCTGGCTGTGTGTTTCGGGTCATTGTCATGTTGGAAGACCCAGCCACGACCCATCTTCAATGCTCTTACTGAGGGAAGGAGGTTGTTGGCCAAGATCTCGCGATACATGGCCCCATCCAGCCTCGCCTCAATACGGTGCAGTCGTCCTGTCCCCTTTGCAGAAAAGCATCCCCAAAGAATGATGTTTCCACCTCCATGCTTCACGGTTGGGATGGTGTTCTTGGGGTTGTACTCATCCTTCTTCCTCCAAACACGGCGAGTGGAGTTTAGACCAAAAAGCTCTATTTTTGTCTCATTAGACCACATGACCTTCTCCCATTCCTCCTCTGGATCATCCAGATGGTCATTGGCAAACTTCAGACGGGACATGCGCTGGCTTGAGCAGGGGGACCTTGCGTGCGCTGCAGGATTTTAATCCATGACGGCGTAGTGTGTTACTAATGGTTTTCTTTGAGACTGTGGTCCCAGCTCTCTTCAGGTCATTGACCAGGTCCTGCCGTGTAGTTCTGGGCTGATCCCTCACCTTCCTCATGACCATTGATGCCCCACGAGGTGAGATCTTGCATGGAGCCCCAGACCGAGGGTGATTGACCGTCATCTTGAACTTCTTCCATTTTCTAATAATTGCGCCAACAGTTGTTGCCTTCTCACCAAGCTGCTTGCCTATTGTCCTGTAGCCCATCCTAGCCTTGTGCAGGTCTACAATTTTATCCCTGATGTCCTTACACAGCTCTCTGGTCTTGGCCATTGTGGAGAAGTTGGAGTCTGTTTGATTGAGTGTGTGGACAGGTGTCTTTTATACAGGTAACGAGTTCAAACAGGTGCAGTTAATACAGGTAATGAGTGAAGAACAGGAGGGCTTCTTAAAGAAAAACCAACAGGTCTGTGAGAGCCGGAATTCTTACTGGTTGTTAGGTGATCAAATACTTATGTCATGCAATAAAATGCAAATTAATTACTTAAAAATCATACAATGGGATTTTCTGGATTTTTGTTTTAGATTCAGTCTCTCACAGTTGAAGTGTACCTATGATAAAAATGACAGACCTCTACATGCTTTGTAAGTAGGAAAACCTGCAATATCGGCAGTGTATCAAATACTTGTTCTCCCCAGTGTGTGTGTGTGTGTGTGTGTGTGTGTGTGTGTGTGTGTGTGTGTGTGTGTGTGTGTGTGTGTGTGTGTGTGTGTGTGTGTGTGTGTGTGTGTGTGTGTGTGTATATATATATATATATTACTGGGAACTCTGAAAAAAACAAGGTCGAATCATGACGTCAGTAATCTTCAGGACGGTCTAGAAAGAGGCCAGAGTTCCCGACTTGGAATTCGTATTTTCCCAGTCGCAGCTGCCAATGCATTAAGATATAAAGAGGGAACATAGTAGATACATTCAATATAATTCATGAGTTGAATCAAAACCTGTTTAAACCCTTTCTCATGCTTGGGA